GCATCTCCGTTTGAGTGGTCTCTGGATGTGTTAATAAAATCAGCATAAATTCCTGATAAGTGAATACATTCACCCATCCAATTATGCCTTCAAATGTCTCTCTCGCTCGCGAGTTCTGTACGCCCGAGTCGCATGGCGGTTTTTTCATCTGCACGGAGGTGTTAAGTGAGTGCGTTTAGATGGGTGATCTCTTCCCAAAGCGGGATGATGGATCTGCGGCGACGCACCTGAAGAAAGCCGCCGAGTCGCGTGCCCCCGCCGACGAGATGAGGTCAAATCTGAGCGACATTCCACGATCGTGTGGGTGTCGATCCCATATTTAATGATCACAGACCATTTCTCAGCATACCTGCGGTTGACTCCGCGCGCCGTTCTGTATAGACATTCACTCCCATACTCGCGAGTCACATTATTAATTACGCACCGCGATCTACTCACCTGGGCCGCGCAGTTCTAGTGGATCGCACAAGAATGAATTCGATTCATTTTTTATCGCGACTCCTTCTCTATTGATACCGAGCTTGTGGCGAGAGTGGCAAGAAGTCCCGTATGTTTCTTGTTACCTTTGTGGAGTACAAGACGATTCGGCCCGCCCAAGGCGATCTAGAGCTATACAGATCGATGGTGTTGACAGCAATTGCTGTCACAGTCCAATCTGCACCCATCATAGCACGGGTTTGAAGGCGACGGGCCTTCCTTAAGCGGAAATTGGGTCAGCTCTTCACGCTGCAGAGAATCCCAAATAAGCAAGTGTGTCGCGCCGCAGCACCTTGCTTCCCACCAGCAGCTCTCTCGAGAGAGACACACAAGTGAGTTTATTTTGCCTTATACAATCAAAATCACCCAGTGAGATTTTTTCGGTGCCCCCGTCTCGCATCTAATGCGCCTTTGGTCTTCTTTTGGCCACGCCGTGCAGAAGAAATTAAATTCAACAGTTATATAAAAATTCCCCCGTGTGTTATTTCTTCAATCGGAATAATTGATGATGGTGGAAGGAATTTGGGAGAGAAGATAGATCATCGGATTGGCGGTCAGTTTGGCTACTTGATGAAATTAATTCTCATTTAGCTGCAAATTGAAAACCATCATCACAAAATTCCCATATGTGGGACACTGATGGATGATTCTGTGGAAACTCTGCGACTTCTTCTCATCATCATCAATGATACTCACACAGCTTGTCTCTCACATGTCCAATAATTACCTTGATTTTCACCACTAAATGGACACGAAAGCCGTCATGTCGATGGAGGGGCGAAAAAAAAATGTGTATCAATTGAAAGGTGAGGCAATTGTAGCATTCAATTGTCAGAATATTCCATTTCTCGAGGCGATTTTTTATTTCCACCAGCAATTTCACATACTGTTCTCCTTGGGAGCCAAAACAAGTGCATTTCGCTCTTGATTTCCGCCCATTTTCGATAGCCATTCACTTTGATTCCTCCTCCGTGGCCCGAAAATTGCACAAAATTGCGGACAAAGAGACATTTCCGCAAGGATTTATCGTCTCATCGGCAGAGTGACTATTTTTACCATCGACTTCGGTCCATGAATCACCGCGAAGCAGGCGATTTATATTCTTTATTCGCTATCACGGATATAAATCAATACATTTTACCATCCCACACTGACCAGAGACAGAGAAGTAATCGACCGAGAAGCTCACCCATAACAAGTCTATTAAGAAAATGCACAATATTGGTTTGGTCTTGAAAGGAGGTGGATTTATTTGATGACTCCCTCATCTGCAGACGCTGGAAATATGGTAATTTCTCCGCGATCTCTTTCATTGTCCTTCCGCTGTGCACAGCGGTTGAATCTTGGGCTGAATTGATGATCTCTCGGCCGCTGTCCGAGAGGCTGACGCTTATCTCAATGGGCTGAACCTCTGGTTTCCGATCAGCTTGACAAACCGCGATGATGCGAAAGGGAAAGCCATGATGTTTATTGCCAACAGAGATGCTATCGGAAATTAGTGATGGACGATAGAAGTTAGAATTCGCCGTCTAATTGCGTGCACTGTGAGAAAGACTCGACATTCTGTCCAGTGAAACTCGTGGAAATTACGACTTCACACCTGGAATTTGCCATTGCGGGGATGGCGAGAGCCAGTGGTGAGAAAAGAGGGACAGTTTTCCAATGAAACGACGGCGTATATAATTATTAATTATGCATTATAAGTGCATGGTGAAGTAATTGTGTGGTTTGTGGCGTCTTCGCGCAGTAACATAAATTCAATAATTGTAGCTAGAGTGTTTGAAAGTGAACATTAGTAAAATCAACAGGCTATTAATTATCGTGGTGTCTCTGGGACTCTTCCCACCGCGATCTCGCGATGTGCGTGCGCTTGGCGAGTTTCCGTTGCATCTTCCGCGTCTCTCGCGCACTCCACCATGTGACAATCTGGGGATATCGCGATCATTGGCAGTTTTATTATTCGGTACCTGTCCAAAGTCGATACTAAATGGGAGCCCTGAGCATCGCGAGCGCGGCAACAAAGCCGCCAAACCGCCCTACGTTTGGCTGGGAAGAGAGAGTGACTCAATAAATCAATGGTCTCGAGACACTCGATCAATTAGTCTGTCTTGCGGTCTCCAGAGGATGAATGTGGGGTGGAGGAGAGTAAATAATCTGGAGCGACTTTGTTGTAACAATTTCATGTTTTATTTGCTGCACCTTCAGAGGATCACGATTTATCTCACGTGGAAATCTCTAATTGCCATTTGCCGTCATTTCACATCTCCCCGTCGCTTTTTTCCTCCCCAGCGTCGTCATGTTTATGAGACAGGGAAGCTGATCCCTGGATGGCGAGTCCTCCTGGGTGGCGAGAGCTCCTCGTGGCCAGTGGCTAAGTTATGACAATTGCACCCATAAAACTCTAACCGTAAATGCAATCCTCACGTTTGGTCTTCTGTGTTCCTTTCCTCGTGGCGTCCTCGCGAGCGCGCAGCTCTTACATGAAAATTGCCATCATAATGGCAATTTACAAGAGAAGCATTATGCCCTACAACTTGCTTGCTCATTTATGCAAATGCCGCGTGCCTCACAATGACGATCAAGGAGGAAATATTCGATGGATATCCAGACAGGGAAAAAACAATTCTCATCACGATTTTTCAGCTTTGAAGCTTTGCAAGAATATATGAGCTCAATCCTCGCGATAAGCGTTCTTTTCCTACTGTTTGCAGCTCTGAAAAATGAAGAAAATACAGCAATATACATATTAATCGCCATGACAAAACCACTTTATTTCGCATATATCACAGAAATGCTCTGCTATTTGCCATTTCTCATGGAGTTTCACCGTTTCACTCCCGCCCGTTTGGATTTGGTGGATCATAAATTGGAATTAGACGACAAGTCTATTATGCGGAATGGAATCTCAATATTTACAGTGTGAATTAAACCATGTGACAGAAGAAATGCCGGATACGCATTTTTTGATTAATTTCTGGCAATTTATCCAGCGCTGTGGAGTCTAATTCAACACTTTTTGTCCGGCAGCTGAACTAGATTCGCGCGCGCGGGTCATTAATGAGCCGCCCACGCACCCGAGTGACACTCTCGCCTCGTGGAGTCGCTGAGGTGATCCTCTTGGGGAATATGGGTCAGTTGATCGATGGTCTCTCCACACCATCGGCCGACTCTCCCGTGGCGTCGGCACGAATAAAGTGTGTCGTCGTGGAAAAATTGATCGTCAAATGCGGGTTGAAAATGCCAACGGAGCCCGTGGGAGGTTTCGCTCGCTATTTCTCCATCTCCGTCTCGCGCCCTGCGCCCGCGGTGGATGCTGGAAGCTCACAGTGATCACCATGAATCACCATCCGCGAGCTCCACATGAGGACGCTGTAAATAGCCGAGGCATTTGATTATTTGCTTAATGTGCGAGCATCGCTCGCCGCGCGGCACTAATTCAATGTGATTTCATATCTGGTGGATCTTCTCGCGATCAGAACGGAAATACGGACATCGGCCAATATGTGATATTATTTATTCTGCCCATTAACACTTTTGCCAATGTTCGCAGCGTGTGAGCAGTTGTACTCATATTGCACACGAGATTGATCCCCAATTGAGTACATCTCGCATAATTGCAAATATCTCATGAGGCGCGCACACTTCATTAACATGTAAAATAGCCACACGTCTCGGGTGAAATGTATATGAAAAGTCTGTCTCTCACCCAGTGTGAAAATGATAACTTTTCCCTCAACATTGCGCGCGATGATGACGCGCGATCACGCATCAGGAGATGAAGTCCGCAATCGCCGAACATTACTCACTCACTCCTCAGCCAGAGTCGAGTGTGTGTTTTTATCGTGTGCATTGCGTGTTAATTTTGAATTAGAGAAAAGGTGAATTCTGCCAATGCGCGCAAGTGTGATTTATGCCTAAAATGCCTCGTTCGCCGACTGCCTGCTTGAATCGATCATCCAGCGCGCTGATTTACGCCGAAGAGTGCTCAACTTCCACCCAGAAGAATTAAAATCGTGTTGTTTTCTCGCTAGAGAATCACATCTTCTCAATGGTGCGATCCATCTGGAGAGCAATTTGTGATCAATTCTCATACATTCCATCATCTTATGGCTTTATGACCACTCACATGCATTTCTCAATCGCTGCTCAGAGATGTGTCAAATGTTTTCATACCTCTTTCGCATTCGTCATATTATTAATTGCTGTGAATTTCACAGCACAGGTACACGCTGAGAAATTGCCCTCTGTGTCCCTTTACTCTGGGCAATCTTGATGGCCCATTAGTGGGCTATAATTTGTTGAGTGTGCTTTAATTGTGTCAAACCGCTACATTTCATTAATAACAATAATTGAATGCATGGCCAAGTCAAATAGTAATTTGATTGATGGTTGATACTAGAAAAGCCGACACAGACCTCCAAGGCGAATGTTTTCCGTACGAAAAACCACTTGTACAGTTGCATCAGATAAGAATTCATGGACTTTACTGCATTTCTAACCCCTTTCTTCTCTTCCTTTTGCAGGTTTATGCTTGAGAAAGGAGCAAAAGGTACGTGAAAAAGCCATGCGTTCAATCGCAGGGGATTGCAAGGTGTTAATATTACGTGACCAAAACTCGATTCTTCGATATATCAATTGATTTGACGATTGGCGTGGAAACAATCGATATTTTTTGAGAATCTTTTCCATTTTTTCATGGTCTTTTTTATTGTCTCTTAAAGGACAATAAACACCCGGAAATAAGTATTTATTACCTCTAAATGCAATTGAACACAAGAATCTTTAATTTCTTTGCGCAAAATGTGTTATGAAAAACGCTGAAAATCTACTTTCTTCAATTTTTCTCTGGAACAAAGGCTGGTCCGTATTTCTTATAGCGTATACGATAATTGCTATTGAAGAGCGACCTTATGTTGCAGAGACTTTGATTCTGACTTTCCCATTTTCCCGGAGCAGGAAGAAAATCTTGAAGCCATTTTTCGCATTCTAAAGATAGCCAATATTCTCTAGTTGTTTATTATAGCGACCCGGATGGGATTTTGTAAAGAAATTTGCACTTCAGAGGCAAAATTTTCAAATTAATGACTCGAAATCAATCACATTACAATCTCCTAGATTTAAGTCACTTCGCGGGCACTGCGCGCGACCGCCCGTTTGTCACGGTGCACCACTCCTGCGAGTGCGAGGAAGCCCATGGGGCAGAAATATTGTGAGAAAATATCTCGATGACAGTGCAGGAAAAGTCAAGGCATTCGAGCGCCACACAAAAGCTTGAGCCAAGAGAGTGATGTGAAAAGTGAATCATGAGGAAGCTTAAAGCTACTGGAGATGCAATTTGGTGGCTCTTGTGCAGCCATTGCAAAGGTTGTGATTTCACGGATGAGTGTAAATAAAAAGCGGCAGCATTTGCATATTTGCATGCAATTGAAACACCATCATTGTCAAAGCCATTGAGTGTTTCGCGCCTATTGAGAGACGGCTGGAGTGCGCCAATATGTGCAAATACTGCATAATTCACCGTGAAATTGTGCATAAAACTTCATTGCGCGTCTTTTATTCCATCTTTTCACGCACAAGGCGAAGAGGCAAATTGTGGTCAATGTGGAGAGACAATAAAACGCCTCCAAATGCCCACAATTTCTCACACTCAAACTCGCACTTTGCTCTTTTTTCGCCTTTGCTGTTCGACAGCAGCCATCATCGCCCTCGAGAGCTACTGAAGAGCTTCCTCCTTAATTATGAAATCCCCATGAGTGTTCTCAATTCTCGCCAGCGCGCGCAACGCTAAAAATGTGACAATCCGCGATGTTATATCTCCTTATAAGCGGTCAGTTTGGAGTTTCAATCTCTCGTCGTGCTTTTTTGTCCAGAGATTTATTAAATCACATGAAAATGCTGCAAAGTGGCCAAATGAGAAGAAATTAGCTTGGTACATCGTTAAAAAACTCGTTTGGCCATTAAAAAATTTATTTAAGCTCAATTTAAATAAATCGAGGCACAGAGTCGTCTTGCACCAAAACTTTTATTGCAATTAATTGCATAAAGTGCTCCTTCTTAATGATGTCTCTTAAAGACTTACACCAAAAATTACCTCGCGCGCCTGACCAATTCTTTGCGCTATGCTGAGCGTTTTAGGAGCTCGCGAGAAAGTTGCTGGTGTGATAAAAATAATAATAAAAGTGCCTCTCGGTCCAAATGATAATTTATACCATTTGTGGGGCGTTTATGGTCGGCATGAGGCGGTGGGATGCGACGATAAGACGAGAAAGATCTCTGTCGTGATTTCTTCACTTGTCATCTCGTCGCATTGCTCAAATTGTGTCCTTACATTGCAAGAATTGCACGTTTTGGCTCTGTCAATTGATTCCTCCAACGTCAACATCACCCGCCAGTTAGAGGCTGACAAGTGCACTTTGGCGGAACGCTTTCGAGAGAAACAGGAAAAGAGATACAAGAATACCTTTACATTTCCCTGTCGTGATATAGGAATGCAAACAAAGAGCAGGACAGTCATGTTGTCAGCACAATTAACGTGAGAGTAAGAGCAATCAGTGCAAGTAAATTATGAAGGGAAACATTAGACTCATCGTCATCACTTATCAGCCCATAAAAGCGGGCTCATTTTCCCATCTTACAGGATGTAAAATCCGTACAAAGCATATACTTTGCAAATTTTCAAACCACCCTTCAATTTACGACTTGCACGCCCCTCAGTCTGACTGCTTCAGGGCCACTGAAGGGTAATTAAAATTTTCACATCGGCGCAGCCGACACACGAATCAAGTCCCAATCATTGATGTGTGTTTCCCCACAGGAATGGCCAAATAAAGGTTTGGTTAACGAGGTGACTCGTGAATCGTACAAGAAGTGCATTGTTTCACTTACTTTACATGTACGTGCTTCAAATAATACTCCGAAAACACTGATCAAAGTGATGCCTTTTTGTTCCCCACCTTCTCGCCCAGAGACACGAAATTTCATCTTTCGCGGTCCGCGCGGAGAATTACTGTCAGCGCGATTTGGGGAAATGGCCGTGCTCAGTTGCAGCTGATAAGCGCACAACCACGGGCAGGAGCAAGGCACATTCCGGAGGCGAGATGCGGAGGGCAAAAAAGACCAACTTCTCCACTTAATTGGCCGAAAAATGTATTAATGAATGATAAAATAAATTTTAATGGTTATAGCGAGTAACAACCCGGCTCGGGGTTGCCAATCAGCTCGCAAATTGCCAAGTTGAAGCTGGAAAGAAGTGGAGATCAATAAAAGAAACTGATCCGTTATTATTGTCTGCGCGATTGCCGGCTGCCTGGGCATGTTTGGGGCCTCTTTGCGCCCAGCCTCCATCACTGGGGCAAATTGATATCACTCTCATTTGGCTGCCATCGCGGCCCGCATTCTCATTGCGCGGAAGTCACGGATTCCATGGGAAATTAATTTAAATTAGCGGAAAATTCTCTTGACAATTGCATCGCGCGGCGCACAAACGAGGGCCCAGGGATAGCAATTGACCATCTCGCATCCCGCACACCACAGAATCCGTTGGCGCGGTGATTTTGGGGAGAAACCGCGCTGCTCCCATTGACATTTATTGCCGCTGATTATTGTGTATAGAAGTGATTATCATTTTTCCGTACACCCTGGCACGCCGAGGACATCAATTGCAGCTTGCGTGCGCTTCTTAATGACAATCCAAGTCGATGATGATGGCCACAAGACGACCGAGTGGCGATCGTAAATTGCGGTGTGGCGGAAAAGAAGCCAGCGCTTCCACATTTCGCCCACAAGTGAAACCTCAAATAGAGACAATACACATAAATAAGCCCATCTCGCAGTCATGCGGCAATTTGACGCTGAGCGGCCAAGGCAAATGAGACAAAGAAGCTGCGACGCTCCTTCTTGGGCGTCGCAATTTGTCTAGGAGACTCTCGTCATCGATCCCGCGCGCGAGAGAGAGCGCCGAGATCTCGTTGTACGATTACTACAATTGCCAATTTTATCAGCAGCCATAACTTAGCGTGATCTCTTCACTCTGGGCCGAAACGACATTTTAACTCGCGATTGAATTTCATGCCATTCTTCCTGGCCAATTTATGGTCGATTCTCTCCCCATTCGCAAGTGTGCTATTCACAGAGTATCCATTTCAAGATGGACTTTATGGATTTTTAAGTAATTACACCGCATCTTCTATCCGTCGCTCTCCCTAATGTCCAACACACAACTCTCATGAGAGGCCCATTCTGCTGAATTACCTCTTCCTCGCCGCCAAATCGCCACTGACATGGAAAATATTCCATAATCAACAAATTGCCATCTCTGCTGAATAAATTTCACCTCACATCCAATATTTTTTCGCCTGACCCCCCGTGCGCCGGGGGAAGTCTTCTGGGGCTCCTCATTAAAGGCACACAAACGTCCCAGCGACTGCAGAGAGTGACTTTTCAGCGGGAAAATATTTATGAAGCCCCCTTTCGATGGGCGCTCACAGAAGTGCAATTCTGAACTCTGAGGAGTCGATAAACATCACGAGAAATTGGTGGTTGGTGGTGATACACCCGTGTGCAAATCAGAGACAGCTCTCAGCACTCGGGATTGTTCTGCGGGCCAAGGGCGAATCGCGAAGAAATCACCTCAGATGCAGCGACATTGAGAGAACAATACAGCTAAAACTCAGATGCCATTGTCTCGGGTGACAAACAAGGCTTCTAAGATCGATTGGGGATTAGAGATTGATTTAATCACTCTCAGTATTCTCCAAATTTAATTACACATTGTTTCACGAATCGCAGTAGCCGCAACTTCTTGCCGAGCCTGAGCGAAGGCGACCCAAAAAGCCCAGCACAAAAGACTGATATAATGGAATATAAATAATTCCTCCTTCTCGAAACTCACCTGATAATTGGATCAGACGTGAGTTACTACACTCTCGCGAGTGAAAAGTCCAGAGGCAGACGAGACAATGAGAGCAGCGCTGCCTTGCTCCGCAATCATTAATCGCGCAGCTCTCTTTCGAGGACGAGAGCGCACAGTGGCGAAACTTGCACTAATAATCATTTTGTCGATTTGTCTCCAATTCATTAAATTTATATCAATGCGCTCGGCCAAGTCGGGCTCATTCCTCATGTCCCCCCTGTGTCGCGGTGGAATGTTAATAAACCCAAAATGGTACTTCATCTCGCAGTTATTCATCCAGCGCGAGGTGGCGAGACAGAGAGCAGCCCATAGGGGAGGGCAACACAGTTGCGGAGACATCATTAAAATCACTTACACAGTGTTTTATGAAATACTTCTCATAATGAAAATACCCACGGTGGAATGTGCGCGAGATGAAAGACAGATATTTTCGGCGCGGCGTTGAACGTGATTTCGCCCATGGAAGACTGCGCGCGGAGATGTGATCCAAATGCTGCGCTCCCGCCAAGAACGCCTCATTTGGTGGCTTCTGCACTTTTTGCCCAACAAGGTGTAAATCACTAAATTACCTCGGCCCATTGCTGATTGACTATTAAGCCAAGTCTCATTGCGGATGATGATGGCCGAGGGCCATTTAG